TCTCGGAGGCTGTAGGAAGGGGATTCGATGTGCCGGCTGCCAGGTCCGCATGGAACACATGTCCTCTTCCTGTCTGGCTTTTGAATAGCACCACAGTGGGCCCTTTCTAAGCCCCGCCGCAATCAGACTCAGCAAAAGCGGCTGAATGCGCTCCTGCGTGTGCCCAAGCAAGAGCCGAAGGGCTTGAGCGAGAAAGAAACAGCTGCCTCATTCATCCGGCTGGGAGGGTGCGGATGCCAAAGGGCATTACAGAAAGGCTGGCGGCGGGGTGGGGAACAACGTGCGTAGCTGGGGGTGGAGTGGGGGCTGGAGGAGCTGCTGTCAGAGCCAGTGAAGAGGAAATGCTGTCGACTCTGCCTTGTGGCTTTGAAGTCCTTTGAAATGGGGAGAGTCCTCTTAGAGACCCCCAAGGAAACCCTGCTTTGCATCCTGCGGAGAAGCCTGTGCCAGGCTTGGGTGTGAAGGGGGTGTCCGTCTGGTTGCAGCGGCTGAATAAGCTTCACCGTACAAGAGAGCCTGTCACGGGACAGCCGCAAGGCAAACACCAGCACCCCTGTCAAAACAGACCTGGCAGGCTTCAACAAGGACCGGCCGTGACCGGGCAGCCTTATTGCTTTCTCCAGGAATCAAGATTGAGGCTGAATTGGTTGCCTTTAGAAAACCTGAAGGAGCGTAGTCGTGAAACACCACTGCCCTCGCCTCCTGTTCACCTCTTCTTCTTTCTCTTGGGCTATTGGTTCCATTTTTCTGTTTGACTCAGTGTCCACGCAGCAAATTTTTACACAAAGTCATATTATGGGAGGCATTTCTGTAAAGGAAACGTAACCTCCCCCTCGGGGCAGCCCCCTTCCATTTAAGCACCTTGAGTTGGCAGTGACCCCTTGTGAGCGGGGTGAATGGCTGGGGAATCAACCCCTCCACAGAATGGTTTCCATGGTTTAGAGTGCGAGGTTTGGGTCAGAAACAAGCAGATAGGTTCACGTGATTTAGTTGGGCAGTATGTTCATCAGCTTCCCCTTCTCCTAACCTTACTTCAAAAATAAAATCCAGCTTCTGAGAATTAAATCCACAGGTCAGAGAAAGCATATGTTCGGTTCCCTTGAAGCAGAATCTCCTTGGCCACTTGTTCTTTGCCATCTTGCTTGTGCCAATCAAAAAGTGAAGTTTGTTTCTGTCGTGGGAAGGAAGGTGACCTCACCTGTACTTGGGATGGAAATAGCTGGACTGGAAGTGTTTTAAGAATGTAAAATAAGGACTGGGGAGATCCAGGTTCTGAATGACACTCAACCAAGAAGCTCAATGGAGTTGCTTTGGGTGTGACTAGGAAGGTATTTTCCTGCAGTTTGGTCTGGGTTGGTTTGCTCCTTTTCCCACCTGATGCCACAAACCAGCCTGCCCCAATTAATGCCTACATGCATCTTTTTCAGGGGCTAGTACATTATGGTGGTTGTTTTGGTACGAATAAGATCACTCCATTTTGTCTTGGTTCCAGTGGGTGGGGGATCGAGCCAAAGTGGATGGCTTAAGCTCGCCCTTTGCTTAAGCCACTTAGCAAGTTGGAGAAATGGAAAACTTCCTTCCCCCTCCCTTGAAAAAGGGAAGGGAGAGGATGTTTTCCCATTTTTAAAAAATGTTGCAAATGCCCTTTCAAAGCATTGCTGTTGCACTGTGTCAGTTAGCAACATTTTTTTTAAAAAAAAATGAAAGCTTTGTCTTCCTTCCACTCCATGGGGCAGTGGGAAGGAAGCTTTGAATTTCTCTAGATCGTTAAGTGGCTTAGGCAAGGCATGGAGGAGGAGACAGAAGGGAGATTCTGTTGTTGTTTTCTTTCATTTTGAAAGGAAAGAAGATTGGTCTATCTCATGCTAAACAGAGTGATTTGAGGGGCCTTATAGTCGATTCTTGCACATGCATGCAAGGAACACCCCAAATGATGTATTACACCTTAAAGTGACCCTGTTTAGCACGATCTGGACTGATCCATGCTAGGATTAGCAGAACTGTGTATATCGTTTTGAACTCCCTGACTTTGTGCACACAGTTGGCAATGATGGATCATCAGAAAGGTTTTATGAACATGTCCCTCCCTCCAAACCCAATTAAATCAACAACATCTATTCCAACTATATAACCGTGAACGAGTGGGCGGAATGTAGCAACCATCCCAGCCGAAGGAGCTATAATGAACTTATCTGCTGT